TGTCTGTTGTAGTTATAATTCTTGTCACAAAAATGATGAATTTGAAACCTTTTAGGGATAATTTTTAACATTCCATGATTGACATTCTTTGATAATTCTACCTCCACATTCATCTACAGGCACAGTGTCATGCATAAATATGGATAGGTTCAGTGAGCCAACCAAACAAAATATGGAATATCAACAAGATGAAAAGATGAAACTTCTTCCTCCTTGCTGAATGGCATGTTACTACATATCACTAGTGGACATATTGATTCTTATAAATCATGCTGTCACATGCATGATAACGAAGGGAAACAGTAGAAAACTGAAAAACCATCAGTGTGCTTTTAAAATCATGTTAGTCATTCTTAGATGCCTACAAGTGCAATTAGACCGTGATATGTATGTACTCACTAATCGGGTGAGAGATTATCTCCATGCACTATGTATTTTAACAGTGGAATGATGTGCTCCAGAGAACTTTGCATCCCAAATGGCACAGGCTCTGAAATCCATGAATTCTAGAGATAATGGTGATCTCTGCATATAGCTATTTGTACCCCAGGTTTTAAGTTTGAGCCTCACAATGATCAGTTACCCCATAGCACTAAGAAAACCCTGAAGAACATTTCTCAGTGACTTACAGGTGATCTGCGAACATCTCAGCCGTGGTGCCAGGCAGTTATTACAGAGCCAGGTCTTGTAGTCTTTCAACTTTTGGGAAGCCTTGCATCTGAAAGTGACAAGATATCAGCATCATAATTTTCTTGTTATGTTTGACAATGTATGTAAGAAATAGATCCTTGAGGAAAATCAATATTAACAAGTTAAGCTGTCCACACTATACACTGCAGAGATCCTAGACACTGTGTTTCCACTGTGGTATATACCCAACTGGTACCACTTCGAGCAGAAAGAAGACTTGTGATGTGTCAAGGCCTAATTCTCTTCAAGTACAGAATAGACTGCAATGGAGTATCACAACCAAGTTCCCATCCCTTTTCCCTCCAACACACATTAATTAGGTATGAAACACAAAGCAAACACAAACACAAGAGCACTGAGAAATGCAAAACATTGGCAGACAATGCTACAAATGTGTATGCATCTCCAAATTTAACTACCTGAGAACAACTCTCTGAAGAGGACTTCGGCTTAACTTTCCACACAGAGCAGTGAATGCTCAGAAAAATGGGCAGCCAGTCAGCATTTAGTTTTCTTCCCTTTGTTTAATGTGTGGTCTCAGGCTTCCTTTACTAAGCACTATTCTGCTCTAAATACAGATTCTAAATGTCACAGTGATTCTTGTCCATTTATGCATTTAAGTAATCAAGGAGTTTCATATTGACAGCTGGAAAAAAAACACGTATAAGTGTCCCTTGTATTTTTAGCTCATGATTTTTTAAAAACAATTCTTTGTTGAGAACAGAGTTGCTTCAAGAAATTTTCTCCCATTTTAGTAGACTGGAAGGACTTTTTTAACCTTGCTTATTTTTTGCTTCATTGGTAACTCTGGCATAACGAATCTATGCAACTGCATAATACTTGCCAACATGCATGTGGTTCCTAAACCAGACACTGTTCTGCTCTCCCAAAATTTCATATTCATTTTAGTGTTTTCCCATCATTGCAAAATTAAAGAGAGTATTAGAGTATTGCAAAATTAAAATGCTTATAGGTATTCAATCTAACAAAAAAGCATAATTTATGTCACAAACTGGATTGAATTTTGTGACTGGTTTGATTGAAGTTTGTGAATGCCTTCAATATTTTTATTTTTCTACTTAAAATTCTCTTGGGTTTATGCCCAATTGGAGACACAGCTTCGGCGCTATCAATGAGTTGAGAAGCATTTGCAGTATCTCTGCTGCATTATGAACTTTTATTTTATATATATTCAGGTCCATCCATCCAGTCATCTACACAACTAATGTAACTAATGCCATTTTTCATTCTATCAGAGGTTCATGACTTCTTCAAAACTATTTTACAAAAGTATTTTCTACTTTTGCTCCTACTAGACTGATAACTGCAGAAGGCAAAGACAATATTTTTTTTCTAACAGAAATAGCATACATTGTTTGACTACTACTTAGAAAAAAATAAAATTGCCAATACATGAGATTCATATGTTAGGCTTATTTTTCTTCTTAGCAAGAATGGAACAGAGAATCATAGGCTAGGATGTTTACCTTTCTTTTGATTTCTACATATTGTATTTGTAGTCTAAACAAAAGTGTAGTGTTTTAAAAATACAGCAGGGCAGCTGTGGTATGTAGTATTGCATCTGAATGCCATCCACTTTCCAGAAGGGCCATCTCCATGACTGAATCTGAGAAGTTTCTTCTTCTCTAGTTTGAGAAGACTACAGCGTATTTCCAACACTACTGGTTTCAAACTTCATTATCTTTCCAAACTTTTGTTTATAAAAACATGTAGATTTATAAGATAAAGCTGTTCAGAATGTGACGTGTTTATAATCAACAAGATGGTGTTCAGACATTTGGACTTAATTTCAGCTGTGTCTCAGCCAACAACTGATTACCACAAACATAATTCTACCTTCACCTAAAGTCTATCAAGACCAGACAATCTGAAATGGTTTTAAAAGCTAAGCTAGTTTAACCACTTTGGAAAATAATGAAGAAAGATGAAGAAAGAAAAACCTAGCAAGAAAATAATGGGATTATTATGTAACTTTAAATTATGGCTTCTTCACATAAAAGAAAAAAACAAAATCTGTTGTGTGTATGTATGTGTATATGTTTCATAGAAAAAAAAATTGCATATCTGTGTGCCCACGTGTACATTTCTTTGTATAGTAGAACTGTTGGAAAAGAGTAAAAATTTTGAAAAGATAGAGTAGTTATATATGTATAACTGGTAGAAATGATTATTTGAGAAATCCATAAATCAGTAGAATGGTTCTGTCGAAACTTTAGTTTCATACCAGGGTTATTCTATAACGAATGATACAATGGTAGTTTGGTAGCGGAAAGTAACACACCTGTATATGGTGAAGGGTATAAGTGATAAATTAGGAAAGTATATTGTAAGACCCTATTCAAGTAGAACCTAGAGAATAGCACACCTGTATATGGTGAAGGGTATAAGCAATAAATTAGGAAAGTATATTGTAAGACTCTATTCAAGTAGAACCTAGAGAATAGCACACCTGTATATGGTGAAGGGTATAAGCAATAAATTAGGAAAGTATATTGTAAGACTCTATTCAAGTAGAACCTAGAAAGTAACACACCTGTATATGGTGAAGGGTATAAGTGATAAATTAGGAAAGTATATTGTAAGAATCTATCCAAGTAGAACCTAGGTATACCAAAAGGCAGTCAAGGGGAAATAGGAGGGCAGCTGACCTCCACATAATGGTGGGAACACGTCCAAAGAACAGAAAGTGAAAAGGACAAACTGAGGAAGACTTCTTACTTCATCCGAGGAAGACTACTTACTTCATCTGAGGAAGACTCCTTACTTCATCAGGACGACCACCAGAGGGGGCTGCGCAAGCGCAGAAGAGGCTGATGTCGCAATGGACTGATGTAGGGCATACGCGTGATTAATGATGTAATCTGTGTTGGATACTGTATAAATTGGGAATGCTAGGTGACAAGACTGAAGCCAGATTTGGGCGCGTGCCCCTGGTTTCCCAGCGCTGCAATAAAGCACCTCATATAACCATTCCGGTGGTTATGTGTCAGTTCCTACGCTAACATTTTGGCGACCCAGATGGGACCTCGCGGGCACTGCTGAGGCGGATCGCGTTTCGATCCTGCTCCAGCCGGCACCGAGATATTCTCGGGGAGCCATCGACCGCGACCGACCTCCTCTGCTCACGACGGACCTCTGATACGGTAAGGAAGGTGCTTTTTCCTCTAATCCGGTCATAATACCGAATTTGTAGAGCATGGTGTTGTAGCTACAGTGCTGAGTTTTGGTAAAGAGTAAGGGTACAGACTTCTGATAAGCTTGGCTGTAGGCGAAGCCTGCTTGGTTTGCTGAAACTGAGGCTTCAAAAAGTCTACCAGAGAGATGCGGTGAAAGCTGCATCTGGCCTCGCGAAGTCTGATTTGGTAAAGCCTGCCTGTTAGACGCGGCGAAAGCTGCGCTTGGTTGGGGCTAGGGAGCTCCCGGGGTAAAAGCCTAGGCGCCGTCCGTTAGACAGTAGCGAAAGCTCTGCAGGTTCGGCAAAAGTGGTATTGGTATTGGTATCTGTAATATTTGTATCATAAAATCAGCATCTGTCTGTAAAAAGTTTTGGCATTGTGGTGTGTGTGTGTGTGTGTGTGCAATAAGAGAAACTTGCCTTGAATCTCTCTTTGTATGTACAAAATGACGTCAATTCCTAAGTCATCTCCGTTAGGCTGTATTTTAAGTCATTGGAAGGAGGGGGGGTTTGGACAGACTATGCGAAGAAGTAAACTGATTGATTATTGCAATACCTGGTGGCCACAATATGAATTAGAGGATCAGGAAAAATGGCCTGAGAATGGAACTCTGCATTATAATACTATCCTGCAGTTAATGCTGTACTGTAAAAGAAAGGAAAAGTGGGATGAGGTACCATATGTGGATCTTTTCTTTACCTTAAGAAACAAAGAAAAGTGGCAAAAATCCTGCGGAATAATGATTGTTAAGACAAGTAATGCCGGAGAGTGTAAAGGATGTGCTGAAGGAAAGGAATGTGAGAAGTGCCTTGCCTCAGGGAACAGTCGGCAACATCAAAAGGATGAGGAAGATCTAGGGTTGTTAATAGCTCCACTTACCTCGTTAGCGATAAAGGGAGAAAGGGGGGAAGGAGGTGACAGTGATGATGATCTTGAGAATAGGAGTGATTATGACTGTAAAGAGACACAAAGCTCTGTTACTCCGGTTTCCCACCGAACCCGCCAGAGGGAAGGACGGGAAAGGAGAATGCAGACTCAGGTGTCTCAGCCGGCTAGTGCGGTGCTTGCACCCTTGAGGCAGGGAGTTGGAGCGGAAGGACCAGTGTATGTCAAAATGCCTTTCTCCCCCGGGGATTTGGTGATTTGGAAGCAATCAGCAGGGACATATAGGGAAAATCCTGATAAAGTAGCTCGTGTAATGAAAATGATCATGAAAACTCAAAATCCCGATTGGGATGATATCCAGGTGCTGTTAGATACCCTTATGGATTCAACAGAAAAAGAAATGGTGTTGCGGGCTGCAAGAGAGAGGGTCCGGGAGGATATACGGCAGGGACTAGTTGAGGGAAACATAGATCAGAACTTCCCCATGGAAGATCCGATGTGGGACTATAACACGGGAAGGGGAATGAGGAATTTGCGAAGGTATCAAGATTGGGTGGTCATTGGAGTGCAAAAGGCTATACCTAAAACAATAAACTGGTCAAAGTTGTATAGTGTGAGGCAAGAAAAGACAGAGTCGCCGTCTGTTTTTCTGGAAAGGCTTAAAGAGACAGCGAAAAAATACACAGATCTGGACGTGGAAAGTGAGCAGGCAAAAGCACAATTGGCTTTAATCTTTTTAGGGCAATCTCAGGAAGACATTAGAAAGAAACTGCAGAAGTTAGAGGGAGCAGACTTGCGAGATTTGGATAGACTGTTGGAAGTGGCTTGGAAAGTGTATAATAATAGGGAAAAAGAGAGCTCCCGGAGGCAGCAACAAAATCTGTTGGCAGTGATCCAGGGGAGAGAACGAGGCTTTTCTAACCTGAGGGGAAGGGGGAGAGGAAATATGCGGGGACGAGGAAGGGGAAGAGGATTCTATAATCCAAATGTAGAGACAAATGCAAGAGGAATAGGATATAATCAGTGTGCAAACTGCTTACAGGAGGGACACTGGAAAAATGAATGTCCACTAAGGGGAAAGCAAACTATGTCCCCCAGGAACCCCTTTGTGGGATCGGAAGTAGCTCAGACAATGGTGATGGGAGAGTATAATGACCAAAGTTGACTAACCGAAGTACAGAATAAGGAGCCCCTTGTGAAAATACAGCTGGGAACAGAAGAAGTGAAATTTTTAGTGGATACAGGGGCTACCTATTCAGTTTTAAACGATTTACATGGGAGGATAGGGAAGAAAACAACTACAATAGTCGGAGCCACAGGGAGGGAGGAAACACGGCCATTCCTACGACCCCTAGACTTGCGCTTTGGGGGAAAAGAGCTGACACATGAATTTCTGTACATGCCTGAATGTCCTATTCCACTTTTAGGACGAGACTTATTAGCTAAATTGGATGCAAAAATTATTTTTGAAAACGGTGAATTGACCATGCAGGTTCCGGAATCGAAGGCAGGACAAATTTTGGTTTTGAAAAATAAGCCCACTGCTCGAATTCCGGAGGAGGTAGAACAAGCAGTAATACCGACAGTTTGGGAAACAGGAGTCCCGGGAAAATCGAAAAGTGCCCAACCAGTAATAGTGGAATTAAAGGATGGAGCTAGACCAGTGAGAGTTAAACAATATCCCCTGAAATTAGAAGCAAGATTTGGGATTATAAAAACAATTGAGAAGTTTTTAAAGTATCAAATTTTAGAGGAATGTGAATCAGAATATAACACTCCAATTTTCCCAGTAAAGAAACCTAATGGTGAGTATAGGTTGGTTCAGGATTTGAGAGCCATAAACGAGATAACAAAAGATATCCACCCAGTAGTCGCTAACCCTTATACATTGTTAACATCTGTGAAGGAAAAATATAAATGGTTTACTGTGATCGATTTAAAAGATGCCTTCTTCTGCATCCCTCTTGACGAAAGTAGCAGGAAACTGTTTGCATTCGAATGGGAAAATCCACAGAATGGACGAAAGATGCAATTAACATGGACCAGGCTTCCACAGGGATTTAAAAACAGTCCAACACTCTTCGGAAACCAGTTAGCCAAGGAATTGGAAGCGTGGACCACCCAAGGAAAAATACAGGTACCCAGATCACAGTATCTCCTACTGCAATATGTTGATGATATTTTTATTGCAACAGAACAAGAGTCACTGTGTATAAAGGTAACCATTGAAATTTTGAACCAATTAGGTTTGAATGGGTACAAGGTTTCAAAGGAAAAGGCACAAATTGCATGCACCACTGTATTGTATTTAGGGTGCGAAATTTCACAAGGACAGCGAAAGCTAGGAATAAATCGCATAGAGGCTATTTGTGCCATTCCAGAACCACGAAATCTACATGAATTGAGAACATTTTTGGGCATGACAGGGTGGTGCAGATTATGGATAATGAACTATGGCCTCATTGCAAAACCTCTGTATGAGGCCCAGAAATCACCTGTTTTTGTTTGGAATGAACCACAGAAAGAGGCCTTTAAAAAACTGAAAGAGACATTGATGAAGTCTCCAGCATTGGGCCTCCCGGATTTGACAAAGGACTTTCAATTATTTGTCCACGAGAGACAGAAACTAGCACTGGGAGTATTGACTCAAAGACTCGGAAGCTGGAAGAGACCAGTAGGATATTTCTCAAAACAGCTGGACCCGGTAAGTGCGGGATGGCCGTCATGCTTGAGAGCAGTAGCAGCCACTATTGTTTTGATACAAGAGGCCAGAAAATTGACTTTGGGAAGACACATGGAGGTGTTTGTACCACATATGGTGACAACCGTCTTGGAACAAAAAGGGGGGTACTGGTTATCTCCTAGCAGAATGATGAAATACCAAGCGATTCTAACAGAGCAAGATGATGTAAGTTTAAAGACTACTAACCTGTTAAACCCAGCAGCTTTCCTAGGAGCAGAACTGGAAGGAGAGACGCTTGAACATAACTGTATAGAGGTCATCGAGCACACATATGCAACCAGAGCCGATCTGAAGGATGCACCTCTTGAACAACCAGACTGGGAACTCTTCACAGATGGAAGCAGCTTTGTGGAAAATGGAACACGATATGCAGGATATGCTGTAACAACACAGCAGGAGGTAATTGAAGCCAAAGCATTACCTCCAGGAACATCAGCCCAGCGGGCAGAACTGATAGCTCTCACGAGAGCACTGGAATTGAGCACTGACAAAAAGGCAAATGTATGGACAGACTCAAAATATGCATTTGGTGTAGTGCACATTCATGGAGCGTTATGGAAAGAACGAGGACTGTTGTCCTCACAAGGGACTAACATAAAGTATCAAAAGGAAATACTAGAATTAATAATTGCCGTGCAAAAGCCCAAACAGGTGGCCGTCATGCACTGCAAGGCACACCAAGGAGGAACATCGAAGATATCCGAAGGAAATACATTGGCAGATCGAACAGCTCGACAGGTGGCCCGGAAGGTATGGAATATGATGGCACTGATACCTCTCAAGGTAAGCCCACTCCATACCTATCTTTCACAAAAACCAACCTACTCAAAAGAAGATGAAAAATTGGCTGGACTTTTAAGAGCTCAAAAGAACTCTGAAGGGTGGTATATAACAACAACTGGACAAGTGATAGTGCCACCTGCAATCATGCGAAAAATTCTACAGACTGAGCATCAGAAGTGTCATTGGGGTGCAGAAGCATTGGTAACTTATCTAAGGCGAGGAATAGTTTCCACACAGATGTTAACTATGGCAAAATCAGTGGGATCAAAATGTGAGGCTTGTTTGAAAAATAACCCAGTAGTGAGGAGACAAATTGAGATGGGAAGAATCAGAATAGGGACAGAACCAGGAGATTATTGGCAAGTTGATTTTGTAGAATTACCAAAGGCCCAAGGATATAAATATCTATTAGTAGGGGTCGACACCTTTTCTGGATGGCCGGAAGCCCTTCCCTGTCGCACCAATCAGGCGAAAGAAACAGTGAAATGGTTGCTCAAAGAAATCATTCCAAGGTTTGGTGTTCCTCTGGGAATGTCATCAGATAGAGGCCCACACTTTATTGCAACAATAGTGCAGGAAATAAGTAAATTATTAGGAATAACCTGGAATTTGCATACCCCCTGGAGACCTCAATCCAGTGGGCAGGTGGAAAAGATGAATCAGACAATAAAAAGACAAATCAGTAAGATATGTCAAGAGGCCAAAATACAATGGCCACAGGCTCTACCTATAGCCTTACTGCGAATAAGGATAAAACCTAGAAGTGGAATGTCAGTGAGCCCTTATGAGATCCTCTAAGGAAAACCATACGAGGCGCCAGAACCTAATCCCAATACCCACATTAAAGGAAATCAGGATGTTTACAATTATGTACTATCTTTAGGTAAAACCCTAACCAGATTGAGAAGCACCCTGGTGTGGAACAGGCCATTGTCCTTGGAGAATCCAGTGCATGATATTCAACCAGGAGATCAAGTATATATCCGAAACTGGAACGAAGAACCGTTAAAAGAACGGTGGGATGGACCCCGTCTGGTGCTGTTAACAACATTCACTGCAGTAAAGGTAGAAGGGATAGACTCTTGGATACATTACACACGAGTGAAGAGGGTCCCGAAGGTCTGGGAAACACAAATATTAAGTCCCACAAGACTTAAACTGAAGTGTAAGCAGGATGTTTAGATTTTTCTGTAAAACTGTAATAATTGTCTGGATATCAGTACCAATGATGGTTGTTTCCTTTTTGGAAATCACTCAAAAGAAAGATGTTTTGACGCAGTTTGTTGGGCAAAATGCCACTCTGACCTGCAGGTTCGCTAGCATCACTCCAATAGGGTTAATATCAGTGAGAATAATCTGGGAAAAGGTAAACAAATTCTCTCAAAAATCGGATCTGATTTTTGACAGTCAGGATAAAAGACAACTGCAGAATAAATGGGAATCAAAGGTTGAAATCGAAAACAAATTGCATGATCAAAATTCAAGTGAAGGGGAAACAAAACTGAAATGGTTTAAATTGACCCTTAAAGATCAGGGTAGATACCAGTGTATCGTGAAAACGAACAAAAGTATGGACCATGGTGAAAGAACATTAATTGTCAATAAGATGGGAAAGAAGAAACCAGCAAACCCAAAGATCAAAAGATCAGTAAGCCCAACGCAAATGATCCAATCATATCAACAAGACCCTGAGGAAAATTTAATGATAGGTTTAATTAAAGATTTTGCACAAATGAAAAATACAAGTAAAATAACGGCATGCCTACCAATACCAAAGGCAGCAGGAGAACCAATTGAATGGGGAATAATAACGTTGCCACTTTCAGAAATTAACAAAACAATCATTTGTCAGGAAGAGGAAGTAACAAAAAACATAACAGTGACAGAATATCAAAAGGAGGGTGTTTTTGGAGACCCTGCAGTTTTGGTATTAAAATCAACATGTGAAAAATACCAAAATGCCCAGTTTACCTCTATAAGAGGTGAATGGGGGGAATGTGTCTATCGAAAAGAAAAGAAGGTAAACAAACAAGAGAAGGTATGGGAATGCGGAAAAACAAATGGATTAAAACAAAACTGGGGTACAGTTTGGTCAATGAGCATTTTGCAGAAGTTTCAATATATAGGAAATACATCTTGGTGCTTTAGATGGACAGGAAAGAGAGACGTAGCAGAAAATATTGACACTGATAATTTGCTGTTAGTAAACGGGGTTAGTCGAAGGGTTATCAGAAATGTCCCCTGGTGGAATTGTACTAAAATTTTAGATTGTGACACAGACCCCGAAGAAATCACTATACCTCCAGTTAAGATTGCCTTAATGGCAGGATGTGCATGTCGAGGACTAAAAATTGGGGAAAAAGGAATACAGGTTCCAATTGGCAATGAGGATTGCAAATATTCTACAGTGCAGAGTATAGGACATTTTGTCTGGGCAGCAAGTGATGGAACCTGGACTACCCACCTATCCATAGAAGGCCCAGTTAAAGAAATAACCCTGGGATTACCAACTCTTTGCCCAATCTGGAAAAAGTCCCCATTTCAAAACAAATTAGAAACCTTGCAATTCCAAACAGAAAGAAAAGCAGATGATAATGATGATAATGACAATGATAATAATGACAATAATGACGATGATACGTGGCAGGAGCCCTCTGCAGGGGTTAAGATAGGATGGGTGTTTGAATCTTTAATTGCACAAGTAGCAGCATATCGAAATAGAGAAATGATTGACAGACTAATTGGCCAAACAAAAAGATTAGCCAGGGTAACGAAGAAGGGGTTTAGGGATTTAAATCTGCAATTGCAAGCCACAACCAAGATGACCCTGCAGAACAGAATGGCATTAGACCTGTTGTTGCTCAAGGAACATGGTGTTTGTGAATATCTAAAAGACAGAATAGATCATTGTTGTGTTCATATTCCTAATGTAACTACAGACATAGAGTATGACATTTCCCAATTAACAAAAGTAGAACAAGAAGCAGAAAGAGAGAAAAACTACATTGAACAAAATTGGTTGGGAGCACTCTTAGGTAGTTTGGGCCTTCACTTCACTGGATGGATACGTTCCCTTTTGCAAACAGTAATTGTAATGATAATTGTGTTCTTAATGCTGTATCTGATGTATTTTTGTATTCAAAGAGAAATGGCTCGGAACACTGCGTGGACTCATCGAATTATAGGAACTGTAATTAAAGAATATCCAAAGCCCTCCTCTCCTCCCACATATCAGGAAACAGCTACCTAAGGAAATGAAAATACTTGACTTAAGTTGAGTGAAGTATTTTCAAAGGGGGGAAATGTTGGAAAAGAGTAAAAATTTTGAAAAGATAGAGTAGTTATATATGTATAACTGGTAGAAATGATTATTTGAGAAATCCATAAATCAGTAGAATGGTTCTGTCGAAACTTTAGTTTCATACCAGGGTTATTCTATAACGAATGATACAATGGTAGTTTGGTAGCGGAAAGTAACACACCTGTGTATGGTGAAGGGTATAAGTGATAAATTAGGAAAGTATATTGTAAGACTCTATTCAAGTAGAACCTAGAGAATAGCACACCTGTATATGGTGAAGGGTATAAGTGATAAATTAGGAAAGTATATTGTAAGACTCTATTCAAGTAGAACCTAGAGAATAGCACACCTGTATATGGTGAAGGGTATAAGTGATAAATTAGGAAAGTATATTGTAAGAATCTATCCAAGTAGAACCTAGGTATACCAAAAGGCAGTCAAGGGGAAATAGGAGGGCAGCTGACCTCCACATAATGGTGGGAACACGTCCAAAGAACAGAAAGTGAAAAGGACAAGCTGAGGAAGACTCCTTACTTCATCAGGATGACCACCAGAGGGGGGCTGCGCAAGCGCAGAAGAGGCTGATGTCGCAATGGACTGATGTAGGGCATACGCGTGATTAATGATGTAATCCGTGTTGGATACTGTATAAATTGCGAACGCGATGTGACGAGACCGAAGCCAGATTTGGGCGCGTGCCCCTGGTTTCCCAGCGCTGCAATAAAGCACCTCATATAACCATTCCGGTGGTTATGTGTCAGTTCCTACGCTAACAGAACTGTTGAATGTTTTTCCTTTGAGAAAGCTATTTCAGCAAAACTGGTTTCATGTTCAGATAGGTTGTGTTGAATTTCTAATGAAAAAAAAATAAAGTAGCAAAAGAAGCAGTTCTGCTAACACAGAAATTAATGATATCTACTTTCTTATCTGTTTAGTCTGCTGGTTGCTTATGTCAGTTGAAGCACTTCCGGATAACATCTTTCCAACTGCTCAAAAATAAAAAGGTATCTCAGAAGCTGTGGTGATGTTTGTTTAATCCATAAAAAGGCATGAGCTGCAACTTCTCTTTTAAAAAGCTGCAGCATTTCTGAGTGGGAACGATGACTCCTCTATTCACCATTCATTGTATTCTTCACCAAATCTTCCTGAAAGCACCTTCCAAAGCCATCAGCTGACAGAAGGGAAAAGAACAGCTGGTGGCACAAAAAGAGGTCACACATAGACAGATCCCTTCCTTTCCTCTGCATCATCTGTCCATCCTCCCTTTCCTCCATCTGCTCTGCCATTTCTCATGGCATTGCATAGGTCTAGTTTCCCTAGGAAACCATGCTAAAAAGTCTGTAAAAACATAAATATCAAAGTTTGTCCTTCCCTTGTGCTTAGTTGTACAGGTGAAAGAACTGCTAGAAGGTAGCTGGGTGGTGTTACTATCTGTTTCACAGAAGAAATGTTATACATCACAAGCACCTTTTTTTTTCCCCCAGCAGCAACTCCAGAGTGAGAAGTTCATGTAACGGTGAGAGACACCACTATGATCAAGGACAAATAAAGCTTTTGAGTTACAATCCAAGGAGGAACATTTTCCTTTCTTCTAAAAACTACAACTGTGTCTGTGCTGTAACCTAAACACTGCCAGGGCAGACACCCTCACCTCTTTGGTTACAGTGGGCAATGTCCATGGCCTGATTTTGTCCCTACCAATTAGCGCTTTCCCAAACATTTCCTGAAAACAGGTGAGGCATTAGCACTGTCCAGGGCCTGTTTACCCAAGGTAGCCTCCATGCAGCCCTCCTGTTTGAGAGGTTACAGGGTTCAGCTCATAAACTTGTGTGGTATCATGCCTCCTTTTGCCTTCTGGGTGCAAAATAGCCTGAACTATTTTTTTTTTTTTTGTTTTAGAAATACAGCTACATTCAGCTCCTAAGGCTGCAAAGGTGCTGTAATTAACACATTGTTAGAAATGCCTCTTCAACTACAAGTCAAAAAAAGCAATTTGTTCTTCACTGGCTATGTTTTCAGAAGGCTATTTTAAACAATAGCTGCACTTCTGAGATTTCAAGCTCTTCTCTGATACAGAGAAAAAACCCCAACGAAACAACAACCTGTGTCAATAAGGCATATGTAACGAAACTAATTGTTTGAAACTTGTACTTATTTCAAACATGAATCTTAGATAGTGTCTGAAATTTTCAGCCAAAATGTCAAGTGGTAGATTCCCTTCCTCAAGGTTCTTTGTATTTATCATGTCAGAATTGGCACATTTCATGGCTTTTAATAGCTGCATGTAAGATTTGTAATTTTGGAAGTCCTGGGTTCAGCAGTAGCAGTCATTTTTCTTTTCTTAGTAGCTGGTGCAGTTCTGTGTTTTCAGCTTTGGTCTAGGGACAGTGCTGGTAACACACTGATGTTTTTAGTTCTTGCTAAGTGATGTTTGCTACAATCAAGGATTTTTCAGTCTCATGCTCTGCCAGTGAGGAGGGGCACAAGAAACTGGGAGGAAGCAGAGACAGGACACCTGACCCAAACTAACCAAAGGGGTATTCCGTACCACAGCACATCATGCCCAGTATATAAACTGGGGGGAGTTACCCAGAAGGCCCAGATCACTGCTTGGGTAGGCTGGGTATCGATCGGCGGGTGGTGAGCAACTGTATTCTCTTCCCTTGTTTTTTCCCTTATCATTATTATTATTGGTGGTAGCAGTAGTAGTTTTGTATTATGCCTTGGTTACTGGACTGTTCTTATCACAACTCATGGGAGTTACATTCTTTCAGTGCTCCTCCTAATCTGTCTGGGAGAGAGGGGAGAAAGAAGGGGGCAAGTGAGCAAGCAGCTGTGTGGTTCTGAGTTACCAGCTGGGCTTTAAACCACAACGCACATT